TGTGGAGTGGAAGACACATCCCAGACCTATGGTCTTCCACTCCTCACCAGCCACGTGAAGGACACCCAGTTCCCACACCCCTCCAAGCCAGGAGGCCGCGGTGGCACAGGAGCATCCTCTCCTCACAGCACCCATCCTCTCTGTTCAGGTGCCAATGAGAGACCAAAGGCTTGGCCCGAGACATGATTTCTAATGGCAGTCTAAGGCAAGGCAGATGATTTCATCCAAAACTTTTAAGTGTATTTGGACAAATTAACTTTGCCCTAGAAATATATTACACTAATGAAGTTACGCTGTCAGCCACTGCAGGCCTGGCAGGACTTGCAAACTATTTTAATCCTCCAAGAACACATTTGCCCAGCCAATAATTTGACTTGTCATTAGTAAATTCCTAGCTCAGCTTTTTAAGAGACAGGAATGCATAAAGAAGTATCGATCTCTAGTTTATTGATTCCTATTGCAATTGCATCAGGTTTCTTCTATGGTCTGTAGCAAATTGATCTATGGGCTATATTGTCCCACCTGTATATTGGAAGTCCATAGGCTTTAGAGAGGGCTTTTTAGAATAATGCAACAGCTTGTTGCTTTGATTTCAAAAGAGCGTGGAGCTTGCCAAATCTCTTCAAAGGGAAGGAAAAAAAAAAAAAGAAAAGGTAATTTGCCCTTGTAAGTGCATATGCAACATGAGAATAGATCTGTGGGCCTTGTAAATACGGTGCTTAAACAACAGGTCCTCTCTTGTGTGCCGGGCGATTGCAAGAGGAAAAGATTTCCCCAAAGGAGAGTGAAATTGCAGCTCAACATTTCTTCTTGGCTCAGACTCTCTACTGAAAGACTTTTTCAACAACAGGTTTCAACATTCCCTAGCTACATGTTAGAAAGGTTATTCTGAATTTGTCATCCTATATTCTCTTTCTAGTCTGTGGAGAGAAACCCAGTAGATGTGTCACCTGACCCATTTTAAGCATCTTTGTTAGGAGGAGAGGAACTGCCCTCTGAAGGTGTCTATTTTTTCCCTTTGACTACACATGGAGTATACAGTGATTAGCTCAGGCTTAGATGGATGACTTTCAAGCCCCAAGTTGGGAACAGATGATTCCCACGCTTCCGTTTCCTTCTTTTCCCCTTCTGCTCCTTTTTTAAGATGTCTTGGTATCCTCATCAGCACAGGATGAGTCAAGGGGGTGCACCCTCGTTGCTTCATCCTTCCCCCAGAATAACCCTTCAGCTGTGCATGATTCCTCGGCTCCCTGGCCTGCCTCGCTCCCTTTACACCACATCATTCCTCAGCAGATTCCCCACAGGACACTTGCTAGTGGTGAGGAGGGATCAGACAGCTGCAGGAGCTCTGCAGAGTGGGTTGGAAGCAAGGCGTGTCCTCGCCCACCCCTCACAAGGGCTCCCTCTCCTTTCGTGGCTGACATTTTTTCCTTCGACAAGATTTGCAGAGCAACTGCTGGGCTGTGTTCATTGGGAAATACCCTGACATGAGTCTTTACTGCTGATTCTTTTCAGTAAGACGCAGCGGCCGCAGCTGTTGAGTTTCTGCTCCAACACAGCACCAATGTTATCCATTTTCATTGTAAGACAAAAGGAAACCCATTTGATTCAGGTCAGGCTTACTTAGGCTCCCTGTGTTTTTACAGAATCACAGAATCTTCTAGGTTGGAAGGGACCTTAAAGATCATCTTGTCCAACCATCAACCTAACTGACAAAAATAGACACCCGCACAACAAACAAGGAGCATCATCACTAAACCATACCTCCCAGCACTACATCAACCTGTCTTTTGAACACCTCCAGGGATGGTGCCTCAACCACTTCCCTGGGCAGCCCATTCCAATGTCTGATAACCCTGTCAGTGAAAAAATTTTTCCTAATACCCAGCCTGAACCTACCCTGGCGCAACTTGAGGCCATTTCCTCTTGTCCTGTCGCCTGTGACTTGAGAAAAGAGACCGACCCCAACCTCTCTACACCCTCCTTTCAGGCAGTTGTAGAGAGCAATAAGGTCTCCCCTCAGCCTCCTCTTCTCCAGGCTGAATAACCCCAGTTCCCTCAGCCTCTCCTCATAAGACTTATTCTCCAGACCCCTCACCATCTTTGTTGCCCTTCTCTGGACCCGCTCCAGCACCTCAATGTCTTTTTTATGGTAGGGAGCCCAAAACTGGACACAGTACTCAAGGTGAGGCCTCACCAGTGCCGAGTACAGGAAGATCAGTTGTCTTCCTGCCAGCGCTGGTGTATGGACTTCTATCTTCCTACCCCTTTTCAGCACCAGAAACATACTATTCTCCCCACTTTACAGAGGGGTTCCTGAAGCAGGGTTCATCCTCTCCCAGGCAACAAAGGGAGGGGTGAGGAAGTTACATGGAAACCAGAGCGTAGGAACTTTACCAGCCTGAAAGTGAAGCTCTGCTGCTTACATCAGGGAAGAGAGCACCCGGGAAGTCTTTGATACGGAATCCTGATGGAGCAGTGGTGATGGTGGGCCAGGCCGTGGCAACAGAGCACTCCCAGCTGCAAAATTTGAAGAAGCTGCATTGCCTGCACTGGAAGCCCAGCTCTAGGGCTGATCAGGTACCGCTGGGCACAAGCACTAGTGGCTGATCAGCCTCTCCTAGCCAGGTGTGTGTGGAGTACTGCGTTCTCTGCCCTGTTTTCTCACTGGCTATAATAAGCAAAGGACCTTCATCTAGGGATACAGTCCTCCTCAAATAATCTGCCTTTCTAGATGGAGAATTTGAGATGCTCAAAACAGGGGGCAGACTGCCATCCTTCTCAGTCCTCAGCTCTCTACGCTATGGGTGGACAGAGCGCAATTCCCAATACTATGTTGCTACCATCAGGCCTACATCGCTCTTCCCATTGCTATTGGGTGACGTGCCAACATCTCTGGTCATGGAAAGAACATCTGAGAGCTTGATAAAGACTGTCACAAGCACCAGAGGAAATTTCTACAAAATAATGGCAAGGGCACAGCTAAGGCAGCTAGCTGTCACCTGGCCCACCAGCCAGAGGACACAAAACACACCTCCATGTTTACGAGGAAACTTGTGGCGTCTTGAGAGTCTTCTTAAGAGGATGCTGCCAGCTACACAGAGCATGCCACACAGAGGACAGGACAGTGGTGGAAGCTACCTGTGTGACAGGCAGTGCCCAGAACAGATTCAGATGTTAAACCCATTCCAATAGCTCAGCTGTTGTTGGTTCTTGCTGAAAGGACAGCACAGCCCGGGTGAGCCCTTTCTGTGGAGTGACACACTGGTTTGCACACAGAACCATAGGGGAAGCCTGGTCCATCTGCATCCTGCTCCTGTAGACATGAGATACTCATTTGGGCTCTACGTGGTTCTTGGTCAGCAGTTTATGGGGCAGATTAGTGAAGTTCAGGAGAATCGGATTCTAAGCTGTAACCTACAAGGCACTACATACAATGTCCATGTCTTTGGAAGGGAGGGTTAACTGATCTGCTGAGTTAAATGACACGCTGCCACCTTTGAAAAGCCTCATTATCAGGTCTAGAAATGTCTGCCATTAGTGTGACACTTGTATGTAAAGAGATAAGACCGTTGCAATTACCTCTGACTTTCATCCACACACTTTACTCCTGCTTCCAACCAGAGCTGGTTCAAATCACTGTTTCTGTTTGACACCAGTCTGCCAGCAACAGCAGAAGCTTAATAACATAGAAGTTTGTTTGTTCCTCTATTTATTTATTTATTTAGTAGCTTGCTACTGTGTCTGCATCCCATTTCCAAAAATGCCTGTGCAGCATTTTCCACTACTGGAAATGTATTAAGATTAAATTATGCATCTCATCTTTACCAGTGGAGATGGAATATCACAGGAAAGAGGGAAGCTGTGAACTGTACCACCTAGTCGGTTATTTATGTGGAGCACCCATTAAACAAAGCATTTAAGCAATGAAATATCTTGCTTATTGTTAATAATATCCTGAATATGAGGAAGCTCATCATTCAAGTTCTCTGGAGTCTGTGGTTATGCTGCATAATTACATAATAATCAACCCCACAGTCAATGCCTATCCAGCAAACATTTTCATTTTATTCTATCACAGAGGAATACAGCGGAACTATACTGATTTATTAAAAATCAAAATCCCAACTCAATGCCCTCTTAAATCATGAGACGTAAAAAAAAAAAAGGTATTTTGGGAAATAAGAAATGTTTGCTTACCCACATTTGAGTTTTTTACCTCATATTTTCTGTCCACAATGCAGGTAAATACTTAAAATGCCAGTTACCTCAACTGAACTGAACTGACTCATCTGAAATCAGTGTAGTTACATGAGTAACTACGTAAGGGGAACATACTCTCAAGTGCCAAGAGTTAGGATATCAAATTTCTCGGTCCATCAATTAAAGGCACTTACGCCACAAGCAGTACATCTGGAATCCCAATTACATTCTGTGCTGCAGGAAGAAGTTTGGCCGGATTCAAACCATCAGCTCTAATCTTTATCTTCCTGTGACGTTTAGCTCCATTCACTCACTGACCACAACTATCAGCAATTCCATTTCCCATGTTGGTCTTCACATTTGTCCACTGTTTAGAATATGACGCACAGAGACTTTAGAGGAGGCAGAATTCCCCTTGTAACAGTTAACACCATCACAGAAGATCACCCTGTCATGAAATCAGGGAAAGACCAGACATCACTACGCTGCTATCTCTACTTTAAATAAACAGAGTTAGCTCTGTGATTCAGTCTTCTATGCCTAAACCAAGAATGACAGTACCTACTGTGCTTTGAAGGACTAATTACTCCTAAATGTGCTGAAATATTCATACAGAAAATATTGTATAAAGACACTGTTCATTGCCGCAAATGTAAACAAAAGCCTTTTCACAGCACATTGTAACAGCAGTGAGAAAAGTCCACGCGAAGTAAAACTAGGAATTTCAAAACACTCAGCCATTCAAAACCACCAAACCAAACAAAAAATTCCAACACGGTTTGGGAAAACTAGCAGTGTAGAATTTTTATTCAGGTCCAAAGAAATAACACATTTTTGAAAACAAAACCTATCTTTTTGCTGTTACAGAGAAACTTGAGTCATCAAACTTAATCGATTCTCAGGGTGCCCCTATTTTCAGAAAGGCAGGAGGAAAATGAAATGCCAAGTAATGTAAAGAGTAAGAGTACAGAACTATAACCATTTTGCACAGCAAATGTTACAGCTGGACACACAATCAGAATGGTCAAACACATGTTTTAGGGCTTAATTATCATACTACCGAGTTTCAAATCATGAGCTTGTTCCTGCGAGCTGAAACGGGGGCTAAGAAGGACAGAGTCTGCTCCTCTCCGCAGGCCACTCCTGTACCAAACTGTACCAAACTTTATCTTCTTAGGCTTCAAAAAAAAAGTCTCTTTTTAAGTCCTCAGTGAGGATTACCCGTGAGGGAAGTGTCCAAGTGAATAAATGCTGCTCAGACACATTTTTGCAATGTTTCCAGTTATTTTGAGGTGCTACAGGGACTGAACCCGAGTGCATTAACTAACGTTTGATTCAGAGGCAGCAGCAGTCAATGTCTGCTGCACGAATCCAAGAACTGGATATTCTTCACTGCTGCAGATGTCCCTTGTCTTTTATGCCAACAGGACCATTATGGTGATTCTTTTCTTCCCCCTCTCCTTCTCCACAATGACAAATGCCAGCACAATCAAAATCTGGAAGCCTTCCATGTAAAAAAAGGGAACAGAAGAGTGCTACCCTAATCAGCTGTGCTGGGCTTTCAGCTGTGACGGTGGGGAAAAACCTGGCTGGGCAGACCACCCTGCTTAGGAAAGAAAGATGCCAGGTGCATCGTGGTAGCATTAGAAATATCTGTAATAAATCTCATATTATGCAAGAGAAAAAAATGAGTTTTCCATATTGAATATGCTGTACAATACTGCAGGTCTTCTCTCTCTGCATTTTAGAATGACATCATTGATCTTTTTGTGTGAGTTTAATTACAGCCTCACTTTAATGCTGCCAGTAATAAGGAACTATTAGTACTGCTCTTAAAGAGGCAAAAAGCTTTATTAGACACTGCAAAGAGCTAGGGATGCTCTTAAAAATAATAAAAGGGCAGTCAATCAATCACATTTGCTCTGCGAAGAGCTTTTAGGAGGTAACCCAGAGGCTTGAAACTTCATTACCAAAACATTTTTCCTGTTGCCACTTAAAAAAATTCTGCTGAAGTTTACTGACTAAAATGTAGATAATGAAACTGCAACAATAATTGCATGCTTAAGAATGAAAATACGAAGTAGTCTGACTTTCATAGAAGAGATGACTTTAAAGACTGGCACTATTTTCTACCCTAAAAATACATGGATCAGTGCCACTGAGGAACACGTAAGAGATTTTTATGGAACCCAGACTGTGGATACAAAGGTTCATCTGCATTGGAACAGGCTGCCCAGGGAAGCCGTTGAGTCGCCATCCCTGAAGGTATTTAAAAGATGTGTGAATGTGGCACTTGGAGACATGGTTTAGTGGTAACTTGGCAGTGTTAGGTTGATGGTTGGACTTCATGAGCTTCCAGGACTCTTCCAACCAAAATGATTCTATGATTCTATGAAATGGTGCTGTGCTTCTAAACTATGCAAACAGAAAGTGGTGGTCAACACATGATCTGCAGCAAGCCAGCTTTTAAAATAGTTAAATTTGGAGTTGTATTGTCTTCTCTGCTACAGTGAGGAAGCTCATAGAATATAAAACAACGTTATGCTGTAAAGGGACCCTACAGTATGGTATCACATAAGAAATCAGGCTGGCTTGTAAACCATGCTGTCAGTCTATTCAAAAGCTAAATGAAAGGTGTGTTCAGCTGTACCATCATACGACTACTTGAGAGTCTCTCTCTGGGGCCTGTACTGAATGAGGATGCCCTTGGATGGATTTTATCTGAGATTTACCATTCGGAGTGGTGAGATAATACTTCAGGTTACATCAGTCTGCCTTTTTCTTCTTCTTGGTTGAGATCAAAAATTGTAGAGGTTTGTTTGTTTTTAGTGGTTGCTGTGCAGTCAAAGAGTTCAAGGATCTACCTAATGTATAAAGGACTTCAATGTTTCCAAGGCTTCCTGAGTCACTGATGAGAACCAGAGTGAAAAGGGTCAGAGATCACCAGAATAAAGGTGCCAACTAGAAGAACAATTCCTTTAGGCAGAGGAACACTTACATTAAGGCTGCCAAGAAGACATACCGATCTGGGTTTGGTATAATAGGATGGCACAAATACATTCATTTTCAATTTAGAAACTTCCTGTTAAATTAAATTTTTTAAAAGCAATTGGAAGGTCTTGGCATTAATATTAAATCAGTGCTTTAGTTTTGGAAGCTGCTTTGTTCCTACAGTCTTTTTAACGAATCCTTTTTGAGGATTAACCATCTTCGTGTTTCCTGAAACACTGTATCTCCCTCTGAAATAAAATGGGTGAAGTTAGTCATCAAATGTCACACTCCCTGTAAGTTTTAACTGCTAGAAATTTGCATGCTTTTTACATTTGCATAACTGATTACTATTGTGAATTAATAAACCTGAGAGAGGAAAAAACAAGTATATTTCTGGCTTTGCAGGCTAGTAGAGCATCTAATTATTCTGCATACAATCTCAATTCTCATCTCATCACTCCTGACTACTTCCTGTTACCTAAACGATGGCATTTGAAGAACACGAACAGAATACTAAACATTTGCACAAAGAGAATGGTAACTGGTGAAGGAGACATTTTCATCAGTTACATAATCCCCATTAGGGAATGGAAAAACACTTCATGTAGATGTAGTTCCAGGTCTCTGCAGGTATTCCACTCTGGAGACCCACGCTCTTGAGCCCATGATCTTACAAAAGAAATGCTGCCAGCAGACTTCTGAAGTGGTACTCATCACACATACGTACGCCACCTATGTTTGCTTCTCTCCCTGTTCATTACTGCAGTGGACAGCCAGCACTTCACATATTCTAATGACAATATGCAGGGTTTCAATGTCTTTCTCAAGCAATAGGTGTTCTGAAGGAAAATATATCGCAATATCACATCATTATATTCATGATGGCAGCCAGAGAAATACTTTGTTATGTGGCAGAAGCTGTGATGACATGATCTGCACAAGTTTCAGATTTCTGGGCAAACAGCCCACAAAGCTGTCCCTGTGGCTGGTTAGTGTTTTTGAGACTGACACATCCTTTGTTCCAGCTCCCACAAGCAGTCATGGTCATGAAGGGACAGCTGCCTCCACAGGGGTATGGAGCTGCTTCTACTCGGAGCTTGGAAGATCAGAACCCAAGGCCTCAGTTTGCCTTATTGATATATAATCAACATTATAATCAATTGATTCTTCAAATTCAAATCGATGGATTACTCATAATCAATTGATTAATCTGTAGATCACTGTAGAGCTGGACCAAGCAGACAGAATGGAATTCTGCAGGCAGCAAAACCTCTTTCCACTCAATACCAGCTGGACTTAACTCGCTTAAGGCCAGGTAGCTGCAGCCAGGGCAGTGTTGAAACTGAGCTAATAAGCTCTGCTGTATGACTCAGTGTGACAGTAAGGGCTCAGGAGGACATTAAAGTGGCTGCTCAGATTGCATCAGAGACGTGAGTCATCAAGCCATCCATGGCTTTTTCCCCAGTTGTCAGCTAGCCCTGCGCAACACCATAAAAAGGACCACTACTGAACTTGGCTTCCGTGTTTGGATGGAGAGGAAACTGAATGCATCAACAATTAGTGTTCACAGTTACTACTCAAAAATGTTACGTTGTTGCAAAAAATATATTAGTGTTTTTTTTTCATACCTGCACTTATAGTTAAGACAAACATTACAAATAGTTTCTTAGTATGGTTTGAAATCCAATGAAGGTGGGCGTTTTCTGAAAGGCCAACAGAAGTGAGTAAGAACTCTGGCCAGAACGATTTCAAATTATTCTCAAGAACACATTTATTTTCCATCATGCATGTCTTCTGTTATTTGAATGAAATCATTTCTCATTAATGTCAGCTTGAATGAACAACCTTCAGGCTGTAAATCAAAACATAGTTAAAAAGGAGTAATGTAACAATGGCTGTGTTAACCTTGTGGTGATCAATGGGTGCTTACTTACATTCTAGTACTTCCTTAAATTACAAACTATGCCAAATCCCCATTCTTATCTCTGTGTTGCCAACTAAGACCAAAGTTTGACCTGAAAGTTCCAAGTCACTGGGTTATAAAAGCCAATGCTTTGCAAAATTTGTTCTTTGACACTAAGGAAAATTTAAAAGATGTACAATTCCCTTCATATGTGTAAAGTACTTTAAAAAGTTAAAAAAAAAAATCCTGAGGGAAAATGGGTTGAAAGGGGATATTTTGTTACACTATGCATCTTCTGAGACCAGCAATTCCAGGACACTTTCTTTCTTTTACAATTTATGTCTTTTCTCACTTATTTTCTTTTGTTTGATAAAAATTACAGAAATGCACTGTCATACAATTTCAGGGTAAGTAATGGTCTACTAAAATAAATTATTAAAAAACCCAACATAATCACAGAGCAGTGCTGATCTGCAGCAAATCCCAATATCTGGCTGATGATATTTAATCTCCCAGCAGAAACAGTGAATTCTCCTAGTTCTAGCTTCCTGACCTTCTCCAAATGAGCTGTTAAACATCCCTGGGGTCAGAAGAAACACACTGGTGTATATGGGGTATCTCAGACCCATACAGTGCTTTTTCTATATTGAGAAACTTCAGTTATAGACATTAATTCATATTGTACTACATTAATTGATATTCTACTAATACCCTCTCCCGAAGCATGAAGGTCCACTGTTTCAATTTATGAAATCCTGTGATTCTGTGCTTACACAGACTAAAAGGATAAAGCTGATAAGAAAATATGTCTACACAATTTCAAGTTTATAATTTACTCACTACGCTTTCAGATGTTCCCAATATGTATTGTGTACGCTCATTTTACTAATGCAGGTAAGTGGGTTCATGCAAGATTATTTACTGTGAGATACTAAATACATAGAAACCATACTGGCTCAGGAACTCTCCAAATAGGAAGTATTTGGGAGAGCTCCAAAAGCAAATATTGTGTCTGCCTCCTTACACACTTGCAATATGATTCCCTATACTCTTCATACTTTATATTCTTAATATTTTCGGTTCACTTAAAAAATAAGTCTCCTCCAATTTCAAGCTTTCTCACAAGCATTAGAATCAGAAACTAATTTTATTTCTACATAGTTCAGAAATTTAAATTTCTAACCCATATAACTTAACAGAAATCTGTTAAACAGTGAGGCCTTTATGTATTGTCATCTAAAATCACTCACATTATCATCAACAAAAATTTTACAATCTCTGTTGGCTAAAAAGGACCAAGCAAGGCACATATTTAATTGAATTACTCATAATGGATTACAGGGTATACTTCTTGCGCCCAACTGTGCAGTAATATAGAAAAAACCAATCCATTTTAAATAGAGGTCGGAAAGGAAGAACATCAGAGGAACTGCAGATTTCAAAAAGGCTTAAGTATGTATTTTCAATATTGCAACATACTTAGTAGTAAAAAAACCTCATTGAAAAGCAGTATCAAAAATGATGTTAAGATTAATATTTTGTCAGTAATATTATTCTCAGCAATATTTATGATGGACAGTTGCAATATTCAAAACACAGTGCTCAGCAAAAAATAATAAACCAGAAAACAGAGAGAATACAAGGAAATTTACCTCAGTATCTTGTTTTCTCCCTTGTGCATCAGAGCATCTGTTTTTTGCCTTTCAACAATTTTAAGCGAAGCTGATGTCTGCAATAGCCACATTTTTACAAAACGAGTTAATCCTAACCACATTCACAGTTAAGGAAGTAAAATATTTCCAAACTAATTTTGACCCACTATGATCTTACTGCCATGAAGCACTTTAAGCACATATTATACTGACGTGTTCTTGATTTGGGGAACTGAACACATTCCAAAATCCCTTGCTGTGCAAACCGCCTTTATTTATTAAGCTGGATGATCAGAGAATGTGTAATTTCAATCAGCATATTTTTGGTCATACCGCCTATAATTCCACATTTTCAATGAAGAAGCATTGTATTTCTAATATACTTCTCTAAATAGGAAACCAAACAAATTATAGTGACTTGGTTGTACTTTTGACTTATTTAAACTATTAATTAGGAACAGGAACTACTTTAAAAAAAAAAATTAAGCAAGCATGGAAATCTCTGCATACTCCGGCAGCGTACATTACCGGCCATACTGAAAGAACCCCAATTGTTATTCTTGGTATTGCATTAAGAGAATCTGAGCAGGATTAAATCAGTCGGTTCCCCTGTTTCTTGGCTCACAGGGTTCCTCCCTCACCCAGCACTTGCTGGCTCATCCAGTTGCCTGTACTAGAACTGCCTTGAAGATGGACAGCTACCCCATGGACAGAAAACCAGAGAACACAGAAGCTTTAGGGCTTCTCTGGCTGTTGCACACACTTGGGTTGTCCAGTGTAAGTGAATGGAATTTCTCAGCTACTTTAAATAGATCCATCAGAAACATGTAATAAATATATGATAATCATGATATATGAAGTATTGGCTACACCAGACCAGTGAAGACTTTTTGAAAGCCTAGAGCTGGATTTTGGGGGTACCTAAACAAGGCTCAAGGTTTGGATTATTCCGTAACATTACATTACAACATTACATTTTATAGCATGCGTGAAAACATCTTGCACTTGTGAGCAAGAAATCTGGCACTGAAAAGAAGCACGTTTCACTGCTTATAAGACAAAGGTTTCTACTGTCAGGAACACCTTCAGGCAAGTATTCCAGGCCCAGTCATAGCAAAGTCAGCTATAACTAAAGCGGAGTCTTTTCAGAGTGCAAACGTAAAAATGGGATAGGATCTGCACAGATTTACTTCCTTGAAGGCAAGATTTTTTTTGCACTGAAGGAACTGTAGTACTAAAGATGGTGGCTAGTATAATTTATCATCTTTCTGAGCAGATTCTGTGATTCTGTGAGACATGAGACAAGATCTATGCTACAATTGCCTTCACTGTTTTTTTAATTTATATAAATATAGAATGCCAGTTGTTGCACAGGCAGCTTTCCAGCTGTACCTACCTATAATTGTGGGCTTCTTTCTGCAAAGAAATCCCAAGCACAAGTCAGGCTCTACCACACTAGTAAAAGTTTGTGGTAGAAATCTAGCTTGAAAGAATGACCCTTTTAAAGATCTGCTATCATTCTTCTTTGCCTACTTCTCAAACCAATTTCTGAATACCACCAGAAAGTGCTTTGAGGTTTGTGCAGTCCAAATCCCAAACCATTTTTTCAGATTAAAAACAAAACAAAATAGCAAACAAAAATACACCATAAGCCATCGGTGCCTCCAGCATTAGTTCTCAAGTTTGTGAACTCTTCAATTTATTTTAAAACCATCATTTTAAATTGACTATATCTTGATGGACCCAGACAGACAAATAACAAAAGCACTCAGAGATACACTTATTTTCTAAAAAAGCAGAAAAGCTCTCAATAAAAAAAAGGGTAAATAAAAGAAATGGCTGCTCAGAAGCATCTCTCTCTTCTGCTTCTGCCACAGGCTTCAGTAGGGATACAAAACAAAGTGGAAAAAAACCCAAAATATCTCTGAACTTTTAACACCTACCAGTAAAAACTTCCATTCTATTATTTTGTTATTTTCTTTACTGAGAGCTATAGAACAGCACAAAGATAATGAGGGAAAAAAAGGCCTACAAAGCCATCATATCCATTTTCTGTAACTAAGAGATTGTCACTGGAATACATTGTTGTCACAGAATAACAATATCCTGCAGTATGTTTACTTTGGAATGTATGGAAAATGTTAGTCTCTGGGTAAATCCTTCTAACTCAACTGCTGCCAACATTACTGTGCAGACTCTAGAACAGTGAAATTTTAATACATCTGAAAGAGTCTGGACTGAATGTGAGTTTACTTCTGCCTCTAATATTAAAATGAACTGCTAAAAAGAGGGCATACCTATGATCAAAGTCATAGCAGAACAGGACCTGAAGAGACCTGATGAGCCACTGATTCCGTTGCAACAAACAGTCAACCATGATTAGGTTGACTGCCATGTTCACATGAGCAACGTAAATGGTAGATGTCTAATCTCAACTACTCACCAAGGCTCTGCTTATGGCTCAGGAAGAGAGACAGGTTAAGTCCCTGGAAAATTCTTTTCATCTTGATCTAAAGCAGGTGTGATGGTTTGCACCTTAAACATGTTTCCCTCCATCGATTTCAGAGGATCCCTCTACAACTACTTTAGATTGCCTGTTTAACACTCTGAGAACTAAAGATGGGGAGATTAATCCGAAGATGATTATTTTGCTCTCCTGATTCTGAAATCATGGGGGCAAATAACTGATTACTGAAAATCTAATGTACTAACTACCTTGAGTTTCAGTGGCAAAGTCCCTAATGCCCCATTTTAGCAACATGCCAGTGCATATACCTCACTTCAAATAATGTTTTATGTATGTTTAAGTGCTTTTCTAGACAGCTAACATAAGCACTCCTTTTGTTAGCATGTTCACTAATAAAATCATCTTTATTCCTTCCTTCCTCCAGCAGTTCCCAGTTTCAATGTTAATGCAAAGAATCTGAGCATTTCCTGGGCTCTTTTTTTGTTTCATGTTGGAAAGATAGTTTAAGCAACTATTTCAGATTTCCCAAAGCAGCAATGAACCACGTAAGAGATGCAGTTGCCCACTGTGAAAACACACGGAAACACTGATAATTACAGCCTTTCACCCCAGTTAGCTGTGACAGGGATCCAGTAACAATCATTCCTGAGTATCACACTAAGCTATTATTTTTACAGTGTTCAGGAATTAAGAGCTCTTTCAGAATAAGAAGTACTAGAAATCCTTACAGGTTCCTTTAAAGGTTCTGTCAGTTTGTAGTATCAACTTGTATGTATTACATAATTTGCAGCAATAAAATTCAGCCTCTGATTTCACAAAAACAATGTATTTTCTCTTATAAATTTAATTGAAATATGTGCTGTATTGTCATTCTGACCTGACTGGCTAGCTTGTCTTTAAGAGAAAAAAGGAAAAAATGAAAAAGAGGAATAGGTACTTAAAGTGGGTGTCACTACTGCTAATAATTTGCTTCTGATCTTTTCAACTGAAATATTAAATTAACATATTAGTCTTGTGATTAACGGATGTGCAAGCAAGTATCTGGAAATTACTTCAGCTTTCTCAGTTAAGTGCATTTTGACTATCCTTGGGAACAATGAAACTTCAATTGATACAAAAGCAAAAAAAAATTACTTAAAAATAAATAAACCATAGTGATCTTTCAATTTCTAGCTCTTAAAATTTTTAAAAAGCAGCTTTTGTAATGGATTTGGTAGATAAGTGAAGTGATAAAAGACTTTGACCTAATGGCATTAACAGATACTAAGAAAGCATAATGATTTTTAAAAGTCATTGAGTTGCACATTTTTTTTCTTACCTGTAAGATCTCTGAGAGGTACATGCGCCGCTCATCATTAGCCTTGTGGTAAGCCTACATTTAAAATAAGGGATATAGGCTACCATTAATATATATTATTATTTTAAAAGTTGAATCTTACAGGAAGAAACAAATATACAGCAGAGCTTTCTTCCAGTAACATATTTTGCGTAACTATTCTGCTGTGTTTTCCACACACACTGTGTCAGACAACATAATAGCTTTATAGATTAGAGGCATACAGTGATTACAAACCTTTGTTTCCTGTTCCAGTCTAAGTTCATAGTCTTTTAGCTGATTCTGAACACTTCTCTTCTCTTCTTCTAGTTTTTTAAGAACCTCCTTTAAGGAATCCTGTGGTTATAGTAAATAAAAAGATGTTTTACAAACATTTCCATTCTGTGTAAAGTTACCATCACCATAGACCTAATTCTTCAAGCATGACGACCAGCCAGAATTGCTCCCTGCTTCTAACCAAAGTTCACTCCAATGGCTCCTTTTCCGTAGGAGGATTTCAGATCTCACCTACACATGCATTTTCAAACCACTTGCTGAAAGAACTGCTGCACATGGGATGTCAAAGATAACCCATAACAACTTGACCAGAAAGCAGTATTTTGTGGGGAAACTACCTGTTTTAGATGTGTAGCCATTTACCTTATCTACAATTGGGATAAGCTACAGTAACAGCAGTGGAGTCCATGCACACCCAAGCAGGTCCTCCTCCATTTCTAACACAGGAACTGCATTTTACAATCCCCTTCATAAATTGATCCACTCCATCCAGTAGAGACATTCTTATTGGGAGGCCCTAATAGTAGATGGCTTTTTTAATTCCTTCCCTTAGATTACTGAAGGTCAGTTTATACCTGTTTGTTCTTGTGTTGAAATCACCTTTAAGGTAACTGCTCTTCTTCCTCCCTGCTGTTCGCCCCCAGCATGTGCAGACAGAAAACAGGAACATCTTTTTTCAACATTCATTTTGCCAGGATAAATAAGCTGAGCTTTTAAAAACTGTCTCTCACACAGCAGGCTGTCTTTTCATCTAACCATCATAGTAGCCCCTTTGTACACCAGGCTAGACCTCAGACTTCTTACAGTTGGAAAACAGAACCGGTATGCAGTACTCCAGTAACCATCTCACTGCCTTAATCAACGCCAGTAATCCTTCTTTATCTGTACAGAGAAGTTTTAGGATTGTGTTTTCCTTTTTCACAGCTGCACAACGATGGCTCACAGTCAACATGGGATCAGCTAGAATACCCAGATTCTCCTCTGCAGATATGTACAGGTAATCAGCTCTCAATTAATAACAGAATTTGTTTATGATTTCCTAAATCTTTTAGTCTACACTATTACATTTTAATCTCATTTTTAACAATCCAGTCTTCAGTGTCATTCTTTTTCTAAACAACATCCAGATTATATTACACAATTGGTATCAGGAGAAAGATACCTTAATCTATTTCTAATTTGTGTATCAAGGTCATGCATTAAGTGTTAAGAATTGTCCTAAACCTGGTCCTGGAAGAACTCTGCTTGTATTTTCCTAGCAGCCTCTTTCATTAGTCACTGTTATCATCTTCCATTTTCTAGCTCTTGACTCCCTCAGCAAATCTACTAATTTTCATTTTCTTCAAATCAATCAATCGCTTTCCATACAACACGGTGTCTTTACCAGAGGTCACAGTAAACAAGATTACTATATTTATTGTGACAAAAAATCTATTGTTTCATCACATAGTGTCAACAGGTTTTCCTGCCACAAGCCACTTTTAATAAGTCCATATTTCAGCCTGGTTTTGCAACATTTCTTCCTCTCTCTCTCTATCTTAAAACTAAAAAACCAGATTTTCTTTTCTCCAATGCGCACAATGCCATCACACACAGCTTTATTAAAACCACTTGCTATCAGATCAGTGATGTGGCAAGACAGTTCTTTCAGAATCCTAAAGTACAGATTACCCATTTCCCTCGATTTAAGCATACTCGGCTCCTTGAGTTTTCCTTAGGATTTGTTTACTGTCATTTCATCTTCCAAGCATTTGCTGACATCAGCTATTTCTTCCTTTGTTCTGTATTTTATTGTTTCTGCCTTTACTGAAAATCTAGGAAATATACACATATTTAATTTAAAACAAATGAATTCATGATCACTTGATCTGACAGTTTTTATGAGTGGCCTTTCTGCAATGTTATTCTAGATTTTCAAAATCTAAACTAGCATTTCTTCCTTTTTATCCAGTATTTTCTGGATAAAAAAAATGTGTAACTATCACATCCACTGAGGTCTGTGCCTCATCATTATTACTAGCACTTGGGTTTCAGTCTTTATTTACAAGTTTCACACATGATGCAATTTCTGGAAGTAATCTAGTAATATTATATCCAAATTCATCCATCAAAATTTTATATTAATATTTGACTTTATGGATGGGATGTAATCTGAGGTGAGGATATCTACATTTGAGTGTCCATTTGTGAACTAAGCTCCTGCCAAGAGTCACAGTCAATGCAATCGCTAACGCGCAGAGGTTTATCCAGCTGAGCAGCTGAAGAGCTCAACTCAGTTGCCTTCTGAGATGCCCTAGAGTGTCGAAGACATTCATGTGTGGCAGACATGACACAGGTCATAGGAGACATGTCCTTCTGGAGCAGCAGTAGGCTACTCTGCAGGAAACACCTGCAACTATTTACACAACTATTCCACTTTGTTTACACAACTATTCCACTGAAAATGCCTACTTAGATAAATCTATATACAACTCTCTCTACTCAGCTGACTGTATTAATTAGACCTGCACTGCCCGTAGAGGGAATTAAAGATCTAGCTAAGAGGTAGATGCATACAGATAGAAAAGAAAATATCGATGTCCTAATATTTAAGTCAGTCATATTGTTTCAATGTAGATTTCAATACTATTTCCCAATATTATTGTGATTAAAATTTGTTTTCCTTTCCATCCTCAAGATGGATTAATCCAAACAGATGATGAAGAAAGAAAAAACATCAGTGTAAAAGTCTCTCACATCTGCTACATACCACATCTATCTCTGTTTTGATCTTTCCTGCCAAGTGCATACCTTTAATACTTATCCCATCATGTTTTCATTATCAATCCTACTACATTTCAGGCTAGTCAGGTTCTTACATTTGTCTGCTTAGGTTCCTTGTGTAAAACAAGTATCTGTTTCAGAATTTTTGTTTCTTTTATCTCTAACTAAAGCATGTCCCTAGTCAGAATAGCTGAATCCTTTCACTTTCTGCACTGACTACTTTACCATTGCCATAATAATCTGTTATTTCTTCTCATGACCTCAGTGCTTTGCTACAGAATCACAGAATCTTCTAGGTTGGAAGGGACCTTAAAGATCATCTTGTCCAACTGTCAACCTAACTGACAAAAATAGACACCCACACAACAAACAAGGAGCATCATCACTAAACCATACCTCCCAGCACTTCATCAACCCGTCTTTTGAACACCTCCAGGGATGGTGCCTCAACCACCTCCCTGGGCAGCCCATTCCAATGTCTGATAACCCTGTCAGTGAAAAAATTTTTCCTAATATCCAGCCTGACCCTACCCTGGCGTAACTTGAGGCCATTTCCTCTTGTCCTGTCGCCTGTGACTTGAGAAAAGAGACCGACCCCCACCTCTCTATACCCTCCTTTCAGGTAGTTGCCTTTATTTACCAGATTTTCCTGATAAACATGGAAAGACGGATAACATGACTCTCTCCAAATATTCACTCCTGCTTTTTTGTAGAAATTTCTCCCTATTTATCATGCAAACATCAGATCCAGAAGATCCATGCATGGTCTATTTCTCTATTGTTACAACTGTGTCTTCCATCACTCAGTCAGAACCTTGGTCAGACAAATTCAGCTTCCGCTTTTTTGGGTGTCCACCCAGCCCAGCACAGTCTTCTTTGGTCTGTTCCAGAGTGAACTTGAAAATGTCGTTTGTCATGACACGACACTCTTATAAAAGCATTTTCATCTCAGGTCCATAACTTGTATCTTTGACTTTGGACATCACCAAGACATTCTATTTTCTGGATGTGTAAAGTGATAGTCCTACTAAAGGTTTCTAACAGATAGCACCAAACATATACATCTGCCTCTTAGATCTCCCTGTTTGAAATCTCCAGTCTTCTCCTTTCTAGCATCTGCAAATCATTGCATCTTTTATTCTTCTTCACATAATTTTCTGTACAACATGTTACTGATTCAGCTCCAAATTTTATTTTTCACAAAAACATTGTTAGTGAGATTTCCACAGGAATGATTTCCATTAAAGTCAAGGTTTTGCAGGAACATGGCAAAAGGCGCAGTACTTTTAAAACACACTGCCAAGAGAGAATAACCCCTCACCCCCCCCCCTCTTAAAAAAAAAAAAAAAAAGAGATACAGAAGAGCTATATCTTTCAAGAATGTTTTGCATATGACTGGACTGTAATTAACTTTAATTTTTTATAACAGACACACGGGAGACATGGAAAAAATTGGGGTTTTTTGTTTTTTTCCTAACTAGAGCAGAAGTATCTTGGATAGAGATGAAATCTTTGTCCTAATACAGAAGGCTGCTACAGTCAATGTTGGCCACTTCAAGGAGAAAAAGTAAGCTGCAGATTAAAGATTTGGCTAAATTCCACTGGGGTCATGTGCTATTTCATTACAACATCAGTGTCTCTACAGAATTAAACAAGACAGATAGAAAGGGCCTCAGCACTGTCAAGCTAGAAAATGAATTTTTTTTTTGCCTTATTGGCCTGATGGCACATTAAAGATTATAAACACGTGACAACATATTTTGTACAACATATTTTGTACCACCTACAACATATTTTGTACCACCACAGTAAGCCTGAATACAGTAAATACAGAAGTTCATGCTGCTCTCCAGATTTGTTCTGTGTAAATCCACAGCCCACTATTTATTTCCTCACTAGATTGTCCATCAGTGTTATGTGAGTCAGCAAGACTTGGTGTTGCAGCTGTTAGTCACAACAGAGCAATTTGGTATCTCCTCAATGATGGCACTCGTCTAATTTCTTTGAGTTCTTTCACCTACAAAGTAAAACACTTTCGGATCTTTTTTATCTTTTTTTTCATTTAATCTTTTCAGAAGTGCTGTCTATTTTTTGCTGCCAATGCAGCTGGTCCAGTGCAGATGCCTGGGCATTCATTCAGATCTGGAGCAAGGATCATATCCAACCGCAAGCAAACAAATGGTGTTCTACACTGCTTCTGATGAGCAAGCAGATGGAAATAGATTGATAATGTGACTAAAGTATAGAGTTACCATCCCTACACTATCTGAGTGACTCAGAATTTTTAATGTACCTAT